AATATCATGGAATATATATAATCAAAGGAAGTTGGGAAGCAATACTTCCGAGTTACGAATGACTTTTACTTGATGCAATTGACTATGATGAAGGGTGGTAGATCACAGAACAATACATTATCTAACAATACACAACAAAAGAATAAGAAGCTATGACACAGGGTGGTGACGAAGGGAAGTGGTGAGGAAGGGAAGTGGTGAGGAAGGGAAGTGGTGAAGAAGGGAAGTGATGATGAAGGGGAGTGGTGAGGAAGGGAAGTGGTGAGGAAGGGAAGTGGTGAGGAAGGGAAGTGGTGACGAAGGGAAGTGGTGACGAAGGGAAGTGGTGAGGAAGGGAAGTGGTGGAGAAGAGGGAAGTGGTGGAGAAGGGAAGTGGTGACGCAGGGAAGTGGTGACGAAGGGAAGTCGTGACGAAGGGAAGTGGTGAGGAAGGGAAGTGGTGACCAAGGGAAGTGGTGAAGAAGGGAAGTGGTGAAGAAGGGAAGTGATGATGAAGGGGAGAGGTGACGAAGGGAAGTGGTGAGGAAGGGAAGTGGTGGAGAAGGGAAGTGGTGACGAAGGGAAGTGGTGAAGAAGGGAAGTGGTGAAGAAGGGGAGTGGTGACGAAGGGAAGTGGTGAGTGGTGACGAAGGGAAGTGGTGAAGAAGGGAAGTGGTGAAACAGGGAAGTGGTGATGAAGGGGAGTGGTGACGAAGGGAAGTGGTGAGTGGTGGGAAGTGATGATGAAGGGGAGAGGTGACGAAGGGAAGTGGTGAGGAAGGGAAGTGGTGGAGAAGGGAAGTGGTGAGAAGAAGTGGTGAAGAAGGGAAGTGGTGAGGAAGGGAAGTGGTGAAGAAGGGAAGTGATGATGAAGGGGAGTGGTGAGGAAGGGAAGTGGTGAGTTGGGAAGTGATGATGAAGGGGAGAGGTGACGAAGGGAAGTGGTGAGGAAGGGAAGTGGTGGAGAAGGGAAGTGGTGACGAAGGGAAGTGGTGAAGAAGGGAAGTGGTGAAGAACGGGGAGTGGTGACGAAGGGAAGTGGTGAAACAGGGAAGTGATGATGAAGGGGAGTGGTGACGAAGGAAGTGGTGAGTTGGGGAGGAAGCCGGAGCACGAAACCTTGTGTTTTTCCGTGTAAAGTGGCTGCAGCCGGCGATGAAAGGTACCTCGTGTGTGCGGCGGGTGCGGCTGGGGTCGTTTGGTTCCTTCTATGTGTTTTGCAACAATGGTTGTTCCTGTGTGCGTAGTTCTATGCGTTTCTTGAAGCTGTGGTTGCAGATCGCATTGGAATGGCTGCATGCATGCCGTGTGTTGTGGGGAGGAAGCCGGAGCACGAAACCTTGTGTTTTTCCGTGTAAAGTGGCTGCAGCCGGCGATGAAAGGTACCTCGTGTGTGCGGCGGGTGCGGCTGGGGTCGTTTGGTTCCTTCTATGTGTTTGCAACAATGGTTGTTCCTGTGTGCGTAGTTCTATGCGTTTCTTGAAGCTGTGGTTGCAGATCGCATTGGAATAGCTGCATGAATGTTGCATGCCGTGTGTTGTGGGGAGGAAGCCGGAGCACGAAACCTTGTGTTTTTCCGTGTAAAGTGGCTGCAGCCGGCGATGAAAGGTACCTCGTGTGTGCGGCGGGTGCGGCTGGGGTCGTTTGGTTCCTTCTATGTGTTTTGCAACAATGGTTGTTCCTGTGTGCGTAGTTCTATGCGTTTCTTGAAGCTGTGGTTGCAGATCGCATTGGAATGGCTGCATGAATGTTGCATGGGTGTTGTGGGGAGGAAGCCGGAGCACGAAACCTTGTGTTTTTCCGTGTAAAGTGGCTGCAGGCGGCGATGAAAGGTACCTCGTCTGTGCGGCGGGTGCGGCTGCGGTCGTTCGTTGGTTCCTTCTATGTGTTTTGCAACAATGGTTGTTCCTGTGTGCGTAGTTCTATGCGTTTCTTGAAGCTGTGGTTGCAGATCGCATTGGAATGGCTGCATGAATGTTGCATGCCGTGTGTTGTGGGGAGGAAGCCGGAGCACGAAACCTTGTGTTTTTCCGTGTAAAGTGGCTGCAGCCGGCTATGAAAGGTACCTCGTGTGTGCGGCGGGTGCGGCTGGGGTCGTTTGGTTCCTTCTATGTGTTTTGCAACAATGGTTGTTCCTGTATGCGTAGTTCTATGCGTTTCTTGAAGCTGTGGTTGCAGATCGCATTGGAATAGCTGCATGAATGTTGCATGCCGTGTGTTGTGGGGAGGAAGCCGGAGCACAAAACCTTGCGTTTTTCCGTGTAAAGTGGCTGCAGCCGGCGATGAAAGGTACCTCGTGTGTGCGGCGGGTGCGGCTGGGGTCGTTTGGTTCCTTCTATGTGTTTTGCAACAATGGTTGTTCCTGTGTGCGTAGTTCTATGCATTTCTTGAAGCTGTGGTTGCAGATCGCATTGGAATGGCTGCATGAATGTTGCATGCCGTGTGTTGTGGGGAGGAAGCCGGAGCACGAAACCTTGTGTTTTTCCGTGTGAAGTGGCTGCAGCCGGCGATGAAAGGTACCTTGTGTGTGTAATACTATTGTCTTTTGCAGCTGAACATCGTAAATCGTATTGGAGTGGCTGCATCCAGGCTGCGGCTGCGATAGCGATTTGTCAGCAGATTTTCGCAATTTTGGTGCTAGTAATTTTCCTTTTAAAATTCTTTTTAAAAAGTGCTTCAAAATCGTCTTTTTGTCGCTTTGGCGTCGAGGTTTTGGAGCTGCAGTTTCCGAGGCCGTTGCGCGTAGTTCTATTGTGTTTTGCAACTCAGTGTCTGCAGATCGCATTGTAGTGGCTGCGTCAAGGTTGCTCGGTGCCGCGGCTGCATGCGTAATACTATTGTGTTTTGCAGCTGAACATCGTAAATCGTATTGGAGTGGCTGCATCCAGGCTGCGATAGTGATTTGTCAGCAGATGTTCGCAATTTTGGTGCTAGCAATTTTCCTTTTAAAAATCATTTTTAAAAAGTGCTTCAAAATCGTCTTTTTTTTGCTTTGGCGTCGACATCCATCCGGTTTTGGAGCTGCAATTTCCGACACCGTTGCGCGTAGTTCTATTGTGTTTTGCAACTCAGTCTCTGCAGATCGCAATGTAGTGGCTGCGTTAAGGTTGCTTGGTCACAGTAGTACTGGGAAGTAGTTTGTGCAAGCTTTGTAGTACACAGTAGTACTGGGAAGTGCTCTGTGCAAGCTTTGCAGTACAAAGTAGTGCTGGGCGTGTTCTGTGCGAGCTTTGTAGTACAAAGTAGTACTGGAACGTGCTTTGTGCAAGCTGTGCAGTACAAAGTAGTACTGGGAAGTAGTTCGCGCAAGCTTTGTAGTACAAAGTAGTACTGAAACGTGCTTTGTGCAAGCTTTGTAGTACACAGTAGTACTGGAACGTGTTTTGTGCAAGCTTTGTAGTACAAAGTAATACTGGGAAGTAGTTTGTGCAAGCTTTGTAGTACAAAGTAGTACTGGGAAGTAGTTTGTGCAAGCTTTGTGGTACAAAGTAGTACTGGAACGTGTTTTGTGCAAGCTTTGTAGTACAAAGTAGTACTGGGAAGTAGTTTGTGCAAGCTTTGTAGTACAAAGTAGTACTGGGAAGTAGTTTGCGCAAGCTTAGTAGTACAAAGTAGTACTGGGAAGTGCTTTGCGCAAGCTTTGTAGTACAAAGTGGTACTGGGAAGTAGTTTGTGCAAGCCTTGTAGTACACAGTAGTACTGGAACGTGTTTTGTGCAAGCTTTGTAGTACAAAGTAATACTGGGAAGTAGTTTGTGCAAGCTTTGTAGTACACAGTAGTACTGGGAAATGCTTTGTGCAAGCTTTGTAATACAAAGTAGTACTGGGAAGTGCTTTGTGCAAGCTTTGTAGTACAAAGTAGTACTGGAACGTGTTTTGTGCAAGCTTTGTAGTACAAAGTGGTACTGGGAAGTAGTTTTTGCAAGCTTTTGTAGTAGACATTAGTACTGGGAAGTACTTGACATGAAAATAGCCAAGAAGAACTTAGCTGACATATGGGAAGACATGGAATGAGATGAGAAGAGCTCAGATGAGATGAGTTGAGATGAAGTGCAAGTGTGGAGTGTGGAGTGTGGGGTGTGAAGAGTGCAATGTGAAGTGTGAGGAAAGTGTTTGCATTGTACCGGGGTCGCGCGCAGGTCATGTTCTTGGACAGCAACACTGCAACAGCTTCGCACAAAGCACGCACGCACGGGCCTGGCTGGCGCACGGCGCATGCAAGTTCCTTAGTAGTAGTACTGGGAAGTGATTCATGAAAGCTTAGATGACATATGAGAAGAGATGAGCTGGGATAAGGTGAGAAGAGCCCAGGTGAGATGAAGTGTGGAGTGTGAAGGGTGCAGTGTGAAGTGGGGCGTGAAGAGTGCAGTGTGAAGTGTGGAGTGTGAAGTGTGAAGTGTGGAGTGTGAAGTGTGAAGTGTGGAGTGTGAAGTGTGAAGTGTGGAGTGTGAAGTGTGAAGTGTGGACTGTGAAGTGTGAAGTGTGGACTGTGAAGTGTGGGGTTTGCAGTGGGAAGCGTGCAGTGGGAAGCATGCAGTGTGAAGAGTGCATTGTGAAGTGTGTAGTATGGAGTGTGAAGACTGTCAAGTGTGAAGTGTGAAGTGGAGCTTCAAATGTGACATGTGAAACAAGACACCAGTTTCGCAGAGTGCACGCACGCACGGGCTTGGCTGGCGCACGGCGCATGCAAGTTCTATAGATGAGAAAGGTCTTATATATATCTTTAAGGCAACTTCCGCCCCGCCTCGTGCGGGTACTACTGGTATATAATATATTTTATATATATATATATACAAAACTGGTTGGTGGTTGAGCCTACCCCTCTGAAAAATATGAGTTCGTCAGTTGGGATGATGAAATTCCCAACTGAATGGAAAAATAAAAGCCATGTTCCAAACCACCAACCAGTATATAATATACGAAATATATACGAAGTGTTTGTTCTTGGGCTTAGCACACTTGCCGCTTTTCTTCAGTGACCCTCATGGCGCTGGCCCTTTTTCATTTCAAATGCCAAGGAGCCAGAGCACATGTCCATGGAGCAGACCAAACGCAAAGCCTTGGAATAGCAGTTGCTTTCTCACAAAATGGATAAACATGGATGAACCCAACGAAACTGGATTCAGACTGGATGCTTCTTCTTTTGCATTGTTTATTTTTTTGTGGTATGGTTGGATTTTTGTACTGGCCAACATTGAAGTTTTTCTTTCTGGGTAGATGGATGGGGTACCCAACACAAACTGGGTATCAGCATTTATTCTTCTATAAACAATTAGGTAGAGACACAGGGGATAGACTGGTCATTTGGTATAGGAAACCATTAAGAACGTGTAGTTGCTACACTAAGTTACATTAGTTATATGGGTGTGGTTCAAAACCGGGCTGCTCCCGACTCATTTAAAGATGGTCTTAATTTTCAACCCACGCGGATCTGCCTGGTTTCAATTTCTGTCCCACAGGATGGGGCCCCCGTTGGATAGCGTTCAGTTGAGATACAAGTGGCTTAACTAACGGTATATGGTAGATATAGCTATAGTTGGTGGGTTTTTTAAACCATTTAAACCAACAAACATTTCATTGGGGGGCACCATCCTGTAGCTTCATTAATATGAAAACTCATGAAAACTCCATATATCATCATATATCCATAAATATCCTATACATCTATATATCCTATTCAATTTATATCCCACATATTTCGTTTTCGTTGTTGACATCCCCATCCCCCAGCAACGGCACGGCAGCGCCGCCTGCGTTCGCAGGCGCCCAAGGTCTGAAAGAAATGTGTGGAGATGCAATCGTCCTTTGGAAGCTCCTGGAGCCATTGCTGGGTTGGAAAAATGGGAGTTTCCATGGGGATTTGATGGTGATTTAATGGTGGTTTCATGTGGTTTAATGGGATTTGATGGTGATTTAATGGTGATTTCATGGGATTTGATGCTGGTTTCATGTGGTTTAATGGGATTTCATGTGACTTAATGGAGGTTTATTGGGATTTCATGAATTTTTGATGGTGATTCACGGGAATTAAACCAACAAAAATCAGCATATTTATGGGGACATATCCGGTGTCATCAAAAGAGGCTGGGTGGGAAATTCCCGAACTAAGTGACAGTTTTAATGGGAAATTTATAGCACTAAATAGAGGATGTTCCATTGTCCAAAAGTAGATTCACTCAGAAAATGCAAAGTATATCTGGTTATAGCGAAAACCCAAGTTTTGACCAAGCAGATTTAACAGGTCAAAGTGGAATCTTTATTGTTTTTTTCCTGTCTCTCTCTATGTATATATTAATATTATATATATATATAATTATATGTAAGCCTTTGTGCGTAGGGCCGTCAGATTAGGCAGAAAAGATCCAGCACATGAAACACCCGGGTTCCTGAGGGGTTTTGCGAAATCGCATCCCTGGTAGATTCTTAGATTCTTCTCTGCAGTGTTGTGAGTGTTGTGTTTCCCACAGAAAGACAAATAAATGACCTGAAAGATAAAGTCATACCCAAGTTCAAGGATGTCAAAGGAGCACCTCGAAGGGTACCCTCTGGTAAACTAACATAACTATGGAAAATCACCATTTTTAATGGGAAAACTCACCTATCAAAGGCCATTTTCCATAGCTTTTTGTATGTTTACCAGAGGGTTTTCATGCTTCCTCTCCGGAAACATCCTCTCCACGACACCAGCGACTTACGAGATCCGATTGATGGGGCCGTGCATTCTGGGATCAATACGTTCTGAAAATCAACACAACGGTTGGTGGTTTTTCGCCTACCCCTCTGAAAAATGATGGAGTGAAAGTCAGTTGGGATGATGAAATTCCCAACTGAATGGAAAGTCATAAAATTCCATGGTTCCAAACCACCAACCAGAACATATCCTGCCAGAACATGTTTGACCCCATTTCGTAGATGCTCGAGAGGATCCATTCAGCCATCTGCAGCCTGGTTTTTTTCGGCGGTCCTCGCAAGTCATGTTCCAGTCCAGCACGTCTGTCTTCAAACACAAACTTTTGCAGAAGGGAGTCGCCTCGGTGGTGAAATCCCGAGATTTTTGCTGCGCTTCGCACACCCTGGTTCAATGCATTGGCACAGAAAAAAATAGCAGATTTTTCTTGTAGTTCAATGAGATTTGTTTTGCCGGTCGTTCATCCAACACTAGTTTTTTATGGTTAAATCATTAAATCCAAATTTAGTGATTAAGAATTAAGATGATTTATTAATTTATGTTCATCCACATTCAGTCCCCATTAGTTAATCTCATTAAAGGAATAACTAAATATGTTTCAATACAAGTCCACATTCTTGATGGTTATATAACCCATATGCGAACCATGGTGCTGGTATATAAAAACCTACAAAACTGGGTGATTTTGTGCAAGGGCTTTTTTTTGGTGTGCATCTTCCAGCACCATGGTTCGCATATGGGTCATTCATATTATGGTGATTATAGTGCTTATAGTGATTATAGTTCGCATTATGGAAATCATACTTCCTTAAAATATATCTAACATTATCATTCATCTAATGAAGATCATATCAGCACTGGTTTGTTGGTGGTATACCTACAGTACCCCTCTGAAAAATATGAGTTCGTCAGTTGGGATTATTACTCCAAATATATGGAAAAATAAATGCCATGTTCCAAACCACCAACCAGTGTTTGTTGGTTTATAAAACATTATAATCCCCATTAACTAGTTCGTTATATCTACCATAAACCATTATTAACCATTATTAACCATTATTAACCATTATTAACCGTTTATTAACCATTATTAACCATTATTAACCATTATTAACCATCATTATCCCATACTAAACCAATGTTCCAAACCACCAACCAGAACATGACTGGCTAAGTCCACATTTCGTTGGTGAAATCTCTGCAGTTCCGACCAGCTAGAGCGCCTCCTCGCCATGTGCTTCAGCTTCCGAGGCCGCATGGTCAACTCAGCCAACGGGAAGTGTAAGACGTCCGGAAACAAAACAACTGGGTACCCAATGGCTCTATCTTAAACATGTAGAATCACGTTTAAATCACAATTTATCTATATTTATCTGGTTTATTTGGAGTTAGTTCTTTAGCTTGGACAGGTCATTTAGTTCACCTAGCTATGAAAGAGAACAGTAACATGACATGACACATTGCAACCCAACGACTCTTGATTATCATTGATATATGATGATATATGCATGTGTCTACCTTCAAATACCATCTCTACAGAAGTTAAAACAATGGCCATGGTTAGTCAGTCTCGCAACGGACCAACCTTTGATAATCTAAGAGATAGCTGGCTGGAAGACACTCGAAGCATGTAGGCGATTTGTCTATTGCAACTGGGGATTTCCACATGGGTTCACCTAAACCTCCAAAAAACAAAGAGCATGAATTCAAATCTATATAGAAATATAGAATATCTATATGCTATATCACACTATATCGTCCAGTTGGACACGAGCATTCGAATAATTTTCAAGACACCCTTCTTTGCAAATGTTACTGTAGACGTTTGACTCCTGGCAACTTCAATGCAATTTGTCCAGATTCGGCACCAGAATCAGTTTGCAGCTTCCGTGTTCTATTTACCCTCTGGGAAACTAACATAACTCTGGAAAATCACAATTTTTGATGGGTAAATCAACTATAATAATGGATATATGATGGTATACCCTCTGGTGATTTGTTACATAGCTATTGAAAATAACCTATTCATAGTTGATTTACCCAGTAATAATAGCATGGTGATTTTCCAGAGTTATGTAACAAATTACCAGAGGGTATATTGCACTACATGGCAATCTGAAAAAACCATGGAAAACCTGGACATGGCGAGGTCAACGTCCAAGTTTTTAACCACCCGCTTGCTTCGTCTAAAATATATCCATCCACCCATCCATCCACACATCCATCCATATTGCATCAATTTGATCTACTGTATTCAAGGTGGTGCCCCATAGCTATATAAATTGGTTTATTTATAACTTTAGGCGAACATGTGGGTTTTTGATGACCATAGCTGTAACATACTGTAACTATAGTTAGGTAATAATCCAACTTGACTGGGAGGGCACCACCTTGTAGTTAACACCCAGCAAGTCAACATGTTCCAATCCCGAAATAGCCCTTTCCTTAAATGGGGTTACCGGGTTACCCCTCGATTGGCTGCTTTGATATTCAACATCATCACCCGGATATGTGTTATGTGTTGTTAAGGTACTAGGGTACCACCATTTAAGAAACCACCATTTGACTTATTTGGGGGTTTCCTAAGTCATGGGGGATACCCCAAATCATCCGAGTTATTAGAGCATTTTCGTATTGAAACACTTTTGATTTTTTGGGATCTCCAATTTTAGGACCCCCCCTACAATGTGTGGCCCCCAAGATAGCTAAGTTGGTGCAAAAAACTCCAATAACTATGGTTTATGGTACTTATAACTATAGTTATGGGGGTTTATAAACCAACGTATAACTGGGGGGGCCCACATTGTATGTGGGCGTTCCTATCATTCAAATTCACCATAGCCAAGTGCGCACCATGGTACCATCCACCACCGCTGGTGCCACTGCTGCGGGTGTACAACAGGAGCCAGCCCAGTGACTCTTCGCCTTCACAGTGCGCCCATTGTTTTGTAGTGCTGGCAAATTCATGGTTGGGAAATCCAAAAATAATGCTTGGTTACTTTTTCGGGATTCCCAACTAGGGGAGTCTGATCATCCCCACGTAGTATGTACATAATCTTTATAACCCCCTATCTGGGCTTAAAAAAAAACTGGACAGGCAGGCGGGGTCAAAACTGGCGCGCCCAGACCGCAAATCTCGTCCTTTTAGATCCTTTTAGACTTTAGATTCTTAATCCATTTAAACCGTCCATATACAAGTTTCCATGAACTTCCAAAGTTGGGCATGGAGAGTTTTAAAAGTAGGTGCTTCAAAAGTCCATGGCGATACCCAATTAAACTCGGTCTGTAGAAGTAAAGAAACTGTGGGCGAGATCCACCAATCCGCGCCACAGGTCTTATTCCCAGGCCTCTTGGCAGGACATGCTACCATTTCCTGTGCGACGCGGTGGGCAAGTTTGGGGCTCAGCAAATAGACATCCATTGGAATTCATGACTTCATCGGTCAACAAATTCATGTCTTTATTGGGGTCGAAACTTCCGAATGAGTGTATATCTTTCCATTGTATCCCCATTCTATCTCCATTTTGCATGTTTAAATCCCATGTTTGTTGGTAAAATCAGCAGTAAATAACCATCACATCAAGACATAGCCTCCGGAGACTTGTAACCCACCCAGCCTCGTCGTAGCGTGGCATCTCTACATAGGAGATCTCCTTCGGACATGCGGAACTGGAAACAACGAGTCATGCGGTAGATCTCTATACATGTCAACATGTCCAGCAATATCTATATATGTGTATATAAGTCTATATATGCATAGAGAGAGAATCTATATGTATATATATATAAGTCTATATATGCATAGAGAGAGAGAATCTATATATATATGTATATATATGAGTCTATATATGCATAGAGAGAGAGAATCTATATATGTATATATATATAAGTCTATATATATGCATAGAGAGAGAAACACTGTATATGCTCGTAAGTGTGTGTGTGTATAATTGTGTAAATATATATATATACATATATGATTCTTATATATATATAATTATATATATGTACTGTACATATCAATTATACATTTGTACTTAGATAATCTGTAATGCATATTGTATACACATATGTATATGCATTATAGTTTACAGTACATGTGACAATACAATGTCCATGAACATGTGTATGTGTCCATGTTTTTTCTACGTATATATATATACACAATATGTATATATAACTATATGATACTATATGCATATCTTTGTACACACATGGGATATCTTCACACCTGAGAAAGTAGGCGGACATGCAAACTGTTGGAGACACGGAGGATTTTGAATAAGGTCAGGGTCAATGTGTGTGACCATGTGCATATATATATATTATATACATATTGTATATGTATTAGGTATTATGTATGTACGTATCATATCATACATATACATATATACATACACATATCATAATTGTGTATATGTTCATTGTATATATAAAGGCAATGTACATGTCTCAATCAAACACCTGAACATGAAAAGTACAGTAGCTCGCGAAAAAACCTTGAGAAACATCCACTGGGTCAGTATTCTACAACCAACGGTACATTGACCCAGCAACGAGCAACCCAACCAGTCCATCTGCCATTGCATCCGGCAGAAAGTCACGACCTTGGTCCCAGCGAATTCCATCGTTACAGGGAAGAGAAAACCACCTGTTGAAAACCTACAATGTGGGGCCCCCGTTAGATAGCTAAGTTGGTGCAAAAAACTCCAATAACTATGGTTTATGGATGTTTATGGTACTTATAACTATAACTATAGATACTGGGGCTTATAAACCAACTTAGAACTGGGGGGCCCCACATTGTAGTTATAGCATGTTACCTACATGCACCACTTCCCTCATTTCGAAGCAGGATCAAGCAGGGTTATGCCGTGTAGAAGGGCGTTTTTTTCCGGCGTCTTGCCACTTGCCCATGATCCTCCCACCGCTCTGCTACTTTCAAACGATTAGCATTCTGATAAGGAAAAACCCAGAAAATACATGGAATTTGCAGGGACTCTGTAGCTGATGGGACCATTCCAGTCATCTTTCCATACAGAATACATAGTAATTTCTTACGGGAGAACCGCTTGGATATAGACATATAGATATCTGGCTGGAAAAATGGTCGAGATCAATCGTCAAGAGGTAGAATTACTTTTTTGTTTCCGATTGCTCAATCATTTACCTACAAATCCCATTGCATTTCTACAAATCTTCTTAGTAATATTCCCAGGTTAACCATAGTTATAGTGAACCATACTTATAGTGATTACCCTCTGGTAAACGTTTACGTAACTATGGAAAATCACCATGCTATCAATGGGTAAATCCACTATTTCTATGGTCATATTTTCAATAGCAAACTGTAACAGTCATTACCAGAGGGTATACCATCACATATCCATTATTATAGTTGATTTACCCATCAAAAATGGTGATTTCTCCCAACTTCGGGACCGTTCTTATCATGATTACCAGAGGGTATACCACATTATATCCCATTAGCCTCTGGTAAACTAACATAACTATGGAAAATCACAATTTTTTATGGGAAAATCCACTATAAATTGCCATTTTCAATAGCTATTTTGACATAACCAGAGGGTAAATCCCATTGACTGACGTTCTTATCATGAAAACATACCCGTTAAAAACCCCGACGCCCCCAGCTCGTGCTGGGGTCGCCAGCCGTCGCACAGGTCGCATCTGCAACCTGGACGGAAAACGTCGAAAAACTGCGATGGCTTGTGGGTTAGATCCACGAGGAAACACGGCCTGGAACCTGGTCCATTCAGTTGGTTCCCTATACTTACTACTTGGTGGCTCATCCCACGGCTCATAAGTGGGTTATAACCCCTGTGATTTACATGGGATAAGTAGGGTTAATCCACTTATAACTGGGGTTATAAGCCACTTACGAGCCGTGGGATGAGCCAGCAAGTATAGTTGTATCCCTCATTTCTGTTATTTTTGGCTTTCATGGTGAAAACAATGCTGTGTTGAAATCCTCATGTTTTTGGCTTAGTCCCAATGTTTGTTGGTGTTACTACTTAACAGTTTCCAACTGGATATCAATATAGTGCATATTTCCATCCTAATGGTAAGCCTTGGTAAACATCTCCATTACATAAAACTTTGTCATGCGTACTTTGATAACTTAGTTCTTAAATAACGATGGAACATCATACCTGGCTACCTGGCTACCGGCTAGAGATCTTTTGTTGAAGCCTCCAAATTAGCCAGGATCCTTGTTGGTGTCATTCCAATACTATCATATATT